TTTTTTTTTTTGTTTTCAACTTATTTTTTTTTTAATCAATTAACAGTCTTTATTAAGATATATTCATTAAGATCTTAGCCAAAAAAAAATTTGAAAAAAAAAAAACATTATTTTGGTCAGATACATGTGAGGGACTAAAGGAGCACATATTGAAGCGATCTGCGGCATACATTACGGTACAGATTCACCACATTGAAGAATGACAGTTATAGGAGGAGAAGTGCAAGAAAAAATTGAAATTTTTTAAACTTATTAGCAGCTACAATAATCCAAAGATCAAGACAAAAAAAACTTATAAAAAAATAACAGTTACAAACTACAGTCAAAGAAAATATTAGAAGAAAAAAAAAACTGTATAAAATATTTCTTTTCAAATTAAATATGTGCTCAAGATTCATTTATATGTGGAATAGACTAAAACACTTGAAACGTATCTGTACCAACTTGGCAAAATAATGCTTTGCTGTTTAAGATTATCAAATAACTGGAACTTCAAGAGTTGTCAGTATTGTCATCTATCAAGCAAAATTTTTAAGTCTTAAATTGGAAAAAAAAAACCTAATAACAAGTTTCTCGTACTTAACATCTGTCTGTTAGAACAATTGCATTTTAAAAAAAAGCAAAAAATCAAAAAAAAAGATCTGCAAGAGAAACTCTTTTATCTTTCTAACTTTTTTTTTTTTCTTTTCTAAGCAGCAAAATAGAGAATGTTGTGTAAAAAAAAAAAAAAACTTTTTGTTTCCTGTTTTGTTAAGATTTATAAGATATACCAATGGTACTTTTGTCATAATCCAATTGTAAATATACAGCAACAATTAAATCTGTCTATTTTGAAAGTAAAAAAAAGTTTAGCAAAAGAACAGTGATATTTGTTATATGTATTAATCTGTTGATTAATTTTACTCTGTAAGTATTTTTTGCCAAAATTAAAATCTAAAATTTTAATACGTTTTGCATTATCACTATTGCTGTGAGTTAGAAATTCAAAAGGTTGATAAAGGTTAGAAAGACTGAAAAATTTTTCACTGAACAATTGCAGTTGAAAAAAGTTTTGCAAAAAAGAAAGTGCAAAAATGAATTACGGTATGTAGTTTCAAAAAGGAAATTTATTCTAGTCTATAGATCTATTCACGTAATTGACAACAATTAAACTTTTTAAGAATATCAGTTTCCACGTTACAGTGATCATCTTATCTACAGTGGAAGATATTGCAAATAAAAAACTTCTGTAACCAATGCTGCTTTTTTTTTTTTCCTTAGTGCTAGACCGTAAAAAATTCCTTCCATTTACCTGGACTAGAAAGGTACTAATCTTTGAATTGATTACTGTACAATAGTTGTGCATCGGTCGCGCGCTTTTATTTCCGGGATGCCGCTCTACCCTTTGAGCTACCAAGGAGAACCCTCTGCTTAGAGTGCTCAGCGTGGGATGGTTGTCAGCCTTGCCCACAAAGCGATCAACAAGATGTCGGTCACTGTACTCGCAGAGGCCGCTGCTTATTGCAGATGTTTTCTTGACAGGTTGAACGGCAACGTCATTCCTCCGTCCCCGCTGGAAGTTCTGCCTAGGATGACGCAGTCTTTTGTTTGTTTCATGCACAACCACTTTAATGAGCACACCTAATTAGCAAACAATTCACCCTTAGGTGGGACTCGAACCCACACCGCACATCTTTCCGGCCTACTGCTCCCCAACTGAGCCACCGAAGCACTATGCTGATCCTTCTTTTCATCATTTTATTAAATTGTAGTCTTTGTTTGCAACAAACTTTCTGCTGGTTACTATGCATCACTTCT